TGGAACAAAATGAAAGATCTCTTTTTGCGTGCCTCCTTTTTTCGTGCTGGATCTCTTCTCTGTACTTATGTATCAGTATGAGCCACCCCCTTTTGTCACCCCCAAAGCTGAGCCTAAATTACATTAGGAACCAAAGCCCCAAAAAGAGCACAGGAAAAAGTTGGCAAAGATAGGTGTGAAAAGTGATCTGAATCTAGACAGCAGAAATAAGAAAAAAATCATATTAGGAGGGAGAGACTCACAATGCGGTTAAGGCAACATAGTCATGGTTCAAAAGGAACAACAATAGAGAGTGGAGAGACCAAAGATACCGACACATTTGAAGGAAAGAAAACAAATCTCATGTCCCAACCTTTCATGAAATCATTCCTAAAGTTGGGCTTTATATCGGTCACAGTCCTGGTAGTATTTCTATTTGTAGATAGTTCAAATACTACTCCAAGCAAAGTATATGACACTTATCATAATAAGAATGATGAAAGAGAAACTGTCAATGCCGAGGGTGCAGTTGATGATAACAATGAAAAGGAGGAGGAAGAAGGAGCTAGAATTGGTCCAGGTAGTGATAGCATGAATGTTGCAATCTTACCAGATAAATCTTCTGCGAGACCATTAGAATCCTTCTTTCAAAATGTTCATGGACAGAAGAGTGACATTTATGATTACCTTCTTTACGGAAGGAAAACTCTTGTCGGCAACTTTGTATACGTTTGCGGAGAAAAGAGAAATACTAATTTGAGAAGCGATACGCAAACAAATGAAAAGGAGAATCAATTACTATGCAGTATTCAAGGGCCGGTGTATGAGATAAGTGATGAATTGGAAATAGACGAAGCTACTTTTTTCCCCGAAATGAAAAAGCCTGTTTTCAAATCGTCGACGCCAAAGTTTTCTGATCACAATGATTACGCGGTAATTACAAGACGAGGTTTTAAAGGAGATGAAGGATCGAAATGCAATCAAGATCGACCATTTATTTTGCATCCACCGACCGCCTATGGTTTCATTATGGGAATTATTGATGGCCATGGTGAAGATGGGCATAAGGTTTCTCATTCTATTTTGATGGATTTAATTCGTGCAAAAATGGGGATGGGTGATTCAAAGCTAGATAGCGACATTGTTGTAAATGATGAAGCAGCATTGAAGCAAGAATGGATAGAGTTATTCAGATCGATGGATACGGCATTGCCTGAATCTATTTCTCGTACAGCAGGTGCAACTGGTTCATTTTTGAGTAGAATAGGGAACGATAACATCGTTGCAGTAAACACCGGAGATTCTAGATCCATGATTGTTGCATACGATGCAGAAAATGGAAAACCGTCGAATGCTAGGATTGTATACATAACGCAACCCCATAAAGGGCATCTTCCAGAAGAGGCAAGGAGAGTAACCTCCAAGGGTGCTCAAATAATACCACCTCGTAACATGAATGGAGTGGAAATTTCATCGCGAGTGATTATTCCTATACCTGGATTTGGTAATGCATACTCATTAGCAATGTCTAGAAGTTTCGGAGATTCTTATGCAAAGAAAGTAGGTGTCATTGTAGATCCTACTGTTGATGTTCTAAAAATATCAGAATTGAAAGAGAAGTATAGATCTCCTACAACAGAGCTGTTTGCAGTTTCGATGAGTGATGGAATATTTGATCATATTAAAGAGGCGAAAATAGCGGAATTCCTAGCTGAGGCTATGAAGAAAAACGACCCTAGTGGGCTACATGCTGCCTGTCAGTCTCTAATTTTGCAAAGCTCTTTACATTGGATGCAATTCGGATTAACAATAGGTCAGCCATATCGAGATGACATTTCAATCGCTGTACATAAAATATTTTAAAATGTAAGATAATTAAAAGTTTAATCATGTGCATCTATCCCTACGCATGTATCGTACATACTATAAATGTATGAATCCTTGATCGTTCACCCTCTATTTATACCTCGAAGCCTGTGTCTCCGTTGTTACTAGAAAATATGTCCTCTCGTATGGACGACATTAATTCATCGGCATCAGAATTGGACATAACAAGACTATTGAGAAGAAATTCAGCTCGTTCAGGTTCTTTCTTTACAGTCTCTTCAATTTCTTTTTTTCCATAAACTGCAGACAATAATTGCGAAGAACTTTCAACAATAGTATCCCCACGTCTATTTCTCTTGGAATCAAAAATATCAGGAATATAAACGCTATTGCTTTGTGGCATGTCCTTGTCGTCTTCATCCAAGCTAAAAAGGCTTTGACGTAAAGCAAGCGACATTCTTGTTGATCTACGTGTGGCGCCATTAAGTTTGACTGACATTCTTTTCATGTGATTTGATACATCAACATCATCAAGACTCATTCTCAATGAGTCCATCGCAAACGAATCCATGTTGCTGATGGACATTGAATCAACATTAGAACCTCCTTTTTGACTAAATCTAGATAGAATTTTATCGATCCTTTCATCAAAAGTATCAGAATCAGAATCATTATCACCATCGTATTCAAGAGGATTCAAATCCTTCATCATTTGGACAAAAGTAGATCTTCTTCTTGACATCTTATCACGAGACATCTGTTCTAAGCGAGCATTATTGCTTTGCATCCATTCGTTATTTTCATTCATATTCGGAACATCCATCGTGTGAAGAAAACTTTCCCTAAGAGGAACCTTTTTGCCTGTCGTAAAGGAATGAAAGTAGTTTCCTCTTGGATCATTATCAAGTTGCTCGACCGTATGTTCCAAGTTGTTGCATTCGTACCCTCTTGCAATAAATGTGCTTCTACGGTTGTCAGATGCAGAATCATTGAATGATGACTGGTTACTAGACTGATATTGTTCTTGTGCGCACATTTTGTCTGTAGGTTCTTCTACATCAATTCCTTCGGGCAAAAAGTCTTCGACATACTTCAATATACTTTGACGCCTTTCTTTAATTGTAGGATGGTGGAATTGCTCTACATTGTAATCTTGTGGTTGCACTTGGTCATAGTTGTTGTAATGAACATCTTGGTTGATTTGTGGCATTTGGTTGGGACTTATTCCATTGTTCATAGCTTGTTCAGGCAAAGGAGGAGGGGGTTGAGTAAAAGTATTATTGCTACTTTGGTAGCTTTGACTGCTATAACTTTGATATTGACTCATGCTACTTTGGCTGTGGTAAGGAGCAACTGCACCATGTGGGAATGTTTGTTTATAAACTTCTTGCGACCTCTCAATTATAAGTGTGTGCACTTCAAACTAAAAATCGATGAGCATGTATACTTCTTTTTCAGAAATGAATATGAATGAGCAAATGCACTACTTACGTCAGGTACAATAATTTCTCCTGCTTTAATCTTCTTTTCTAACTCAGGGGCTCCTTCACGAAGAGCTTGTCGAGTCTTATCTAGCGCTTTCTTATCATCTAATTCATAATAAGCCCCAGAATCTTTGTCTTTTTGAAGAAAGCGACCAGCTGGCTTCAAAGATTGTATATGTTGAACTACAAGCTTTCCAAAAAAGATTTTTTCAGGTTTTGGAGTCTTTACATATTCTAATCTGAGAGCCTTCACCAGATTACGAAAGTATTGATTACCTGGATGATAGTTGATATTATTCCCTCTACCCGATAGAACTATGAGAGGTAATTGTTAGATTACGGAAAGATATGACGATGGGAACATACATCACATGACAAGCTGCATCTTACCATCGTGGTGATGAGGATTCAGTATAAGGTTGGACATGTTGATAACTCAGCTCTGTACTGGAGAATTCTATTTGTCGTTTCGGGAGGAAGTGCTTTATGCTAGTCGGAAAAAAGATTTTTTGAAATAGAGATCAGCACAGTTTGATGGATTTTGTGTTTGTAGAGTTGTTAGTAGCACTGTTTTGGACGAGAACACTGGAACGAATTGAACGTCACCTCTGCCTCTGTGCGTGCTAAAGGCAAATCCAGCTAGTAGAGAAGAGGTTGTTCGTTCTTCTTTTACGAGTAGCTTCCAGTACCTATCGTGTCAAACTATCCGGGGCTGTCTAAAAATACCAGCTAAATAACTGACAGATGAAGGATTGGAATGCTTTCTTCCTTTCTTCTCCGATTTATTCCAACATGAATGATAATACCATGGCTTATGTAGAAGTGTTCATACATAAGTACATATGATGGCGATATGACTTGTTTTCTCCATCGAAAGACAACTTTGAGGGATGTCGAGGGTGACGGGTGACGGACTCATAAAACAAATTCAACATAGCCTAGGTTCTCTCAGTTAATCTATTCCAAAAATGACGGCTATAGTGAGACTAAAAAATCTTTACTAGTCAAACATTTCTTAGGTAAAGAGATAACTAATGCAATGCAATATTCATACTAGTACATTCTTTATATATTTACGTAGCTAAAGTTCCTTTCCTCACTTTTATTTTTCAATGCACTGGATTTATTTCGAATGTGTCAGCTACATCTTGAGGGTTCATGGGATTTTCAACATCATATGAGGATCCTTGAATGAGATGTCCACCTTGGATACACCCATCACCATTACAAGAGGATAATTCTTCTACTGATACATTTTCTGACGCAATTCCGATGTATGACCTCCAAGGTTCCGTTTCAGACCCAAATTTTCCACACGCAACACAGGTCCCTTGTTCCAATACTCCTTTCAATATGTGTTTTTCCCAAAGTCAGTTGATCAAAGATACCAAAATGACCTCTGATATGAGCTGAATCAATAATTCTCATTATTTATCACTTCGAACAAGAAGCCCAAACTTGAAAAATGCGAAGCCTGAGCTCGACTAGTTGGCTCCGCTGGTCATCGTGCCACCCTTAAAAACTTTTTCCCGAACATTACGAGTAAATAGGTTTCCAACGCCATAATAATTTGATATTTTTCATTGCTCTTTAGAGCTCCATGGTAGATGCATAGTTAAAGAAAAGAAAATTTAAGAAAAATTGGGATCTGGTTAGGCTATATAATTATTTAGATACTACAATATAGTAGTACTTTGTTCTCAGTTGCAACGTGCGCAAGGTTGAATCGAACAACTCGGCCGTCAAGCCGCCACAGGTTTCTTCATTAATTTGAAGCCTGCACCCACCACCAGGTAGGATCATGCACACAAGATATCCATTTGATATGGATGGATAGAAGATGTCGTCGGTCTAGATCAACCCACCAGTCAACATGCCCAAAACTCCCGAAGGAATTTTGGAAGCATTTGCATCTGATGAGCTAAATCCCCTGTCTTTTTGTGTTGGCTCCAATTAGCACCGTTTCATGGCATGGTGTAAGCCAAGACGGCGACTCTATATATTGAAGCCGTTCGACAAAAACAACGAAAAGCAAAAGATATTTCTGTTTGATGCTTAGTTGTTTCTAAGCATAGAACAGAAAAATATGCCTTTCACACATTCACACAATTTTCACTTTGCTAGTACCTCACACAAGTTAAAACATTGACAACATAAGAGCTCTGCAGGTCTACTGAAAGATACAAATTATGGTTGTTTGTGAGAAGCAGATTGGTATGATGATGAGATGCTCTTTTTGAAGCCAACGTGAGGCTGTAAGGCTGGCACATCCAAAATAAAAAGAAAAAGTAACGAAGAGAAAGCGTAGAAAAAGGAAGAATGTAATACATTCCTCGTAACGGAATAGAAAACGCTCTGTCTTTTCTTCACAAAATAGAAAAACTGTGATAATAATGTTTTCATAGGCTTACTGCATCTAGAATTATATCAGAGTCACTTGGGAACTATCTATATACGCGTGGAAGACATGCTTTCTGGGCCGGTATATTACTTTTACCACTTTAGATTGCAAGAGAAAGTGATGATTGGTTGGAACACAAAGACGATTCCTGAAAAAGACTTGTTACAAATCATTCTTTTCGTCATTGTAGTAGGATCATTTATTCTTCCAGAGATAATGTTTGGACAACATTATCTAAACAAGACCGACTATCACTGTCGTAAAAGCATGCTTCCGCGTCAATACATTGCTTTCGTGACAATGTAGAACAAGAAGGAGCCAAAGTCGGAGGGGAAACTGGAGAGTCTGGAACGCAAAGACCCTTCTTGAACGAGCAACCGCTGACTGCATTGCATACTTTTCTATCGGTGTAAGAGGAACAATCTTGAAGAAGTCGAGCTGCGTGACTTATCCTCTCGTCAGTGAGCTTTATATGCTTTCCAACAACAGTATAAAGATCATGGAGTTTTTTCCTTTTTTGAAGAGATGCAATATATGCAGATGCAATATATGGACTTGACTTCAAATTTTCCTTGTCTGAAGGATTTGGTTCTGCTTGTATCACGAAATTCCAGGCGACACAAAAGTCATTGAAAGCAGCTGTATCGAATACCACACTATTATTCTTGATAACTATGCGTTCTTCATCCGCACCATACACTCTTCTAACTTTGTCTAAAGTGTAACGACATGTATCGGAATCATTACAATGATAGTCATAGTTAGCAATAATAGGCTTAGACTCGTGTGTTGTCACATATAGTAAATCTGGCAGCTTTTCTTCAATTTCACCTGCTTTGAGGATAATAAAATTTCCGTCGCCGACTATTGGTTCACAAAGATCGAGCTGATTCTGATCATTTCTCAGATGAATGTGTGTAGGTGCTGTCACCTTTAAACTTTGAAGTTCAGTTCGAATTAGATCCATTGGATAGTCTCTTGGTACAGTAACAATTAAATTGCTGACTGCGAAAGTGCTTTTCTGGACTATATTGCTATTTACCAAAGCATTCACTTTATTCTCTTCATCGATTACAACGACCAAGGTTAATTTCTTTTGTTTTGGCCAAGTCTTGAGATGGACACCACCGTGTACGAGGCTTACATCTGGATCTAATAAGTTTCCCTTTGAAACTAAGCTCATTGCGTGATTTTGCACCACAGAAGTCTCGCGAAAAGTAGGCTGACCGCTCTCATTCATGAAATACGAAAGAAACAAATTTCGGAAGTGTTTCCTATTATTTGGTAGTTCACCATCGTAATTATCCAAAATTTGCGGTGGAACTATTGGTTGTGTACCATCAAGACCTTCTAAAACAATCTGGGCGATTCTGTAATCATAGCCTATTGCATGAAGAGGAGTATTTTCTTCCCGTTCTAACTGAAGAACCAGTTCCTTTACGTAGGGATGCTTGAGATTGAACAGTGCGTTACCATTAAAGTGCTGTCTCAATGCAATGGACAACGTAGATTCAAACCCATCCCAAGCATGGCCACGATATTTACTGTGGTGAGGAAGAAATCAGGATACTTTAGTACATCTTCTAGTAACTTTGCAATGCAGAGGAATCGAGTGTATCAACTTACCTTCCAATTACTGCAAAATTGCTCTTTGATGCCTCTTCCATTAATCTATCTAACCAGTACTTTCGTACGGGAATGGTATCTTCTTCCATGACTAATGCATATTCATAGCCTTGTTCCATTAGCTTTTTCATATTCTCAACAAACATTTTGTTCGGCCCATGAGCCCACATTATGTTTGTCGCCGCTTGACTTTGATCATAGATATCCTCATCTGCAGGTATGTTGTTTGAAATTCTAATTACACTATGAAAACATTTGTACCAATTTGCTTCATTTAAATCGTCCATCATAGTTTTTGTAACTTTATCAGCTTCCGGTACACTTTCATATGTTTGACTGAAACTAAGAACAACGTCAAACTCAAAATCTCGGAATTCCTTTTTGCGGCGAGTCCATTTACTGCACGGGATGAATTTCGACCAAGAGTCAAAGGAGTGCGCAATAGAATCCAAAGCATTTACGGAAAATGGTCTTACTACAGCAACCCTCCTTTTAGCTGCCAAGTTTCGAACATCTAGATCTTGTGACGGGTAAGGATTCTGAGAAGTATCAATACTTTCATTACTTGTTCCAATATCTTGAAGAAATGTTATGTGTAGAAAGCCGAGAGCAAAGAAGCCCAAGATAAGAACTCTCTTATTTTGTAGCTTAGTATTCGTAGAGCAAGTTGTCCTTTGTGTACCACCACCATTTCTTCTTCTCATCGGATTCAGCATCATCTTGTTCTTACTTTTGCGATGATGTATGTAAAATAGTTACAACTAAACTGCTTTCACTTTCGCTTCTCATCTACTTGGATCTACTACGAACCAATAGCGCCGAAGAAAATAGTGAAGTAATGCTCTCAGCCAAGCAAAACTGGTACGTATGGTCATATCTTTTCACGGAGAAACAAGAGGATAAACGTAGAAATGCCATTGAAATGACGCGATGACCCGAACTCTGAGAACATGGATGAGAGAATCGTATTTTTAGAATTCTTGCTGAAACATTCTTTCCATTTTTTTTTTTAGTTTTACCTACGAGTAAGTTGCTCTATGTGTGGAAAAATATTGTGATTGCACTTATTGAGGAGGGCATTACCTATTCCACTTTCACTTTCGGAATGTTCTAACAAAGATATGGAGAAAAGACAAATGACGAGGAAAATAAAGCTTTTTAGTCCCATTTCTACCTGAATAGACGTACCTATGTACCATACCATCTTCTATGTACAAAAACACAGCAAACAGAACACAGCAAAACGTACATAAAAAAAATCCAAACATCAAAACCCTCTTCTTTGTCTGTTCGTTTCATTACAATAAATGCATTTTGGAAAATGATTTCAAATATATTTCGACCCCTACAATCTAAGGTGCTTAAAAATTGGAAAGGAGTTCGATCATTTGCAGCAGTAGGAGCAGATTCTACCGCAAGACAACAAGTAATCGAAAAATGGCTTGATGATATAGTTATCAAACAGAAGCTTTGTCCTTTTGCTCCTCCGGTTAGAAGACCACCGAAACTCCGAATCAAAATATTGAATAGCAACAGTCATGATGAAATCGTTGATCAAATGCACGAAGAGGCTCATTTATTAGTCGGAACTACTGATCCGTATACATCACTCCATAGTAGACCTGAAACAACGCTTGTTGTTTTAAATGAAGAAATTTGTACATCTCTAACAGATTTTCGAGACTTGGTGCGATTGTCTTGGCAAGTTCAAGAAGAAGTGATCAATAAACATTCCTATACACATAGTTTGCAACAGGTTCTTTTCCATCCAAAGGCCACACATCAAACTTATTCTGAATGGATTGAAGAAGATGCCGCCGATTATACAATACGATCACCATTTCCAATTATTCACCTACTAAGAGAAGAAGATGTCATGAAAGCAGTCACTTCAGGATATAAAGATTTAGAGAATTTACCGACTAGAAATAAACAAAGGATGAGAAAAGATGGTCTTGAATTATGCATGCGTAGATTGAATGAATGTAGAAAAGTATCCTGATACTGTTCCGTTTTATGAATTTAACTTTTGGAAGTCTCATTATTGGAAGCTTGACACTCTCATAGTGCTTTTAGATGATGCTTGGAGATGTCCATTTGTCTTCTCCAAGTCCAACAAATGCACTAAAGTCTTGAAAAAAGTCCAACTCTTCTTTGAGAAACATTTCGCGGTTCTTGAGTTTGGATGAATTCTGACACTTGAGCTTGCAATCACTTGTAAACTTTGGTTGGTAACTGATACTTGGACAAACTTCCGAGTCTTCTCCAACAAATGTGGAATAGAAAGTGCGACATCCGAAGCTCTTGCCATCTACGTTTCCTCGACGATCAGCTCCCGGCAAGGCTAACATATCAATCACACAATCATCGACATTCATAATGGAGTAACAATTATCACGGAATTCCACTGCACAAGACTCCGTCATAATGTTACAGTTCCTGAAAGCGATTTCGCGTGTGTGTAAAGCTTCACCCCAGAAGAATTTTGAGAATGTTCTCGGTACAAACTATCATTATGGATTGTGAAATGGGATGGGATGAGACATAAAATTCGGACATGAACATGAATGTAATAGACGATCCCATGCAAAAACACTTACTACGTCGTTACGGCGGATAGAGATTTTACCTGGCTCTATGATTGAGAACTTTGTACGTACACCAATGACAACATCCATTGTTTGTGGGTCAGTAGCAGCTTTGGTTCTCATCGTTGCAACAAACGCATGAGTTAAAACACATTCATTTTCATCGGAATAAATGTTGAGAATGTTATCAAATT